CCCCTCACCCCTGCCTCCTGCCTCCTCACCCAGACCCCCTCACACTGGCGTCCCTGCCACTCACACCTGCCCCCTGTCCACTTACCCAGGGCTCCTCCCTGCTGCCTCCTGCCCCCTCATCCCTGCCTCCTGCTCCCTTGGCCAGGGCCCTTCACACCTGCCTCAGTCTCCCCAGCAGTGCTGGGGTCAGGCAGGGGCCTGCTGTGCCCTCCCCCAGGGCATCTCCAAAGAGGTGAGGCTGCAGCATCTGTTTATTGAATAGAAAGAGGCGTCCCATGAGGCATCCCGCAGGCAGGGGCGGAGGACAGAGGCCCCAGGTGGTCCCCGAGGGCTGCGGGTCTCGCTCCAGGGGCGATGGCGCCTGCAGCTGCGGCTCCTCCTGCACAGCAAATGCACAGCTACTCCACCGCACACAGCTACTCCACCGCACACAGCTACTCCATCGCACAATCCCGGGACAAATGCCCTTCCCGCTCCTCACGAGCTGCGCATCAGCCCTCCAAAGCCACCGCCCAGCAGGCTCAGAAGAGCTCATTCTGCTCCAGAAACTCCCACAAACCCGGGACACACACACCAGCCACCACTGCTGCCCCAGAGGCCCCAGGGGAGAGGCTGTCCCTGGCTAACGCTTCCCCACCTTCCCTGGGGGTGGGGGACCCAGCCCCATGCCCCAGTCCCTGGCTGAGTGGCAGTGAGCCACAGCCTCTGCCAGGGCCTTGATGAAGGGGCCGGCATGGCACGAAAGCCCTGGAATGACCATGAAGCCACCACAGAACCCACAGCCTCCGGGGTCACCCAACATGGCCCAGGCTGGGCACTCTACCCCGAAAGCTGCTGCTTCAAGATCTCGGGGGAACGGGGCCACACGTTCTCCCCAGAGAACCTTCTGGAGGAGGGCGATTTGGTGTTGACCCCTGTGTTTCCCAACCCACGGGCGTGTGCAGGGAGACACAGACCTGTGCAAAGCTGAACAGCCCCAGTGTCCCCAGGTGGGATGGCGGGTCACCTGGATGAGGACCCTGGGAGTGGAGGCGAAGCTCACGGAGAGGAGCCGAGAGGCAGGAAATGCATGGCGGAAAAGCCGGAGAGGCACCGAGGCCCAGAGCCCCCCAACACCACAGCCCCGCCCCGGAGCCCCCCAACACCACGGCCCCGCCCAGAGTGGGGCCCCACCTCCTCCCACCACACCTCATCCCTCCAGATGCTGGTGACTGTCACTTCGGACTCGTGACGTGTGGTGTGCCCAAAGTCTTGGCTGTGAGCCTGGGCAAGGGACCCAACGGTCTTCTGGCGTCTGGTTTAGGGGGAGGTCTCCTCAAGACCCCACCCGCATGTGGCTTCCGTCATTGGCACTGGGCACAAAGGTTGTGGTCTGCCCTCCTGGGCCCTGGCGAGGAGACGAGGTCCCTGCAATTCCAAGGCAGGACGGTGCCCTGGGGAGGGAGCCAGAGGATGTGGACACAGCGGGGACGCAGAGCTGTGGATTGAATTGTGTCTCCAAAACTTCGGGCACACCTGGAACCTCCAAACGTGGCCTTGTTGGGAAACGGTCTTTGCAGATACCGTGAGTTTAGACTCTGGAGACAAGGTCACCCTGCATTTACAGTGGGCCCTAAGTCCAAGGACAGGTGTCCTCACAAGAAGAGGGCCCTGTGGGGCTCGCTGTGGCAGCACAGACCCGGGGAGGGGGGTTTGGACGCAGACGTCAGGCTGTGATGGGGAGGGGACAGGCGACCAGGGCGGCCCCTGCAGGGCCTGGAGAACCCACCTGGGAAGGGCCAGGCGGGGCCTCGCTTCCCGCAGCCCCCGACCCCTGGTGCCAAGGCCACCACCATCTGGACCACCATCTCTCTGGACAGCTCCACCACCCCGAGAGTGGCGCCCAGAGCCTCCCTCCCAGCGCTGCCCAAAGCCTCTCCCGGAGTCTGTGCTGCAGGGGCTGCCAGCCCACACACCGCCTGTGCTCAGGCGGGGAGGAAGGGTGGGCTCACGGGAGGCAGGGCCGGCTGGGGGGCGTCGGGTGGGGCAGGCTTGCCAGGGTACCTGACTTGGGCAGCATGAGCACCGTGTCATCCGGAAGCCCCAGCGTCGGGTAGAAGTCCTGGAAGGCCTTCAGAGCCTGAGGACTCACGTCCTGGGTCCGGCCTGGGCAGAGCAGGGTCACCATGAGCCCAGCAGCAAAAGGGGTGGCAGCGGGGTATCTCCTGGCCTCGCTCCGCCTCCCTGAGGGCTGACGGCAAGGCCGCCACCATGGGTGGCGCAGGTTGTGCACTGCACAAAAGTGCCTGCGGGGCTGAAGGAATCTTAGGGCCCCCTTTCCCGATTCACACAGAGGTGTCCGGGAGGTTGGGGTGGTCTGGCTGTCCTCCTGGGCCCCACTCCCCCTTCAGCATCTCTCCCTGCAGCTCAGAAGCCTCCAGCCTCACCCTGTCCTCCCCACCCAGGGAGTCCCCAGGAAATGAAGAACCTCGGCCCCAGTCGTAGGACTCAGGCATCGAGGCCAGACAGAGAAGGTCGGGACACCACTCTCAGGAAGCCAGAGAGGAGCAGGCACTGCGGGACCCCCCAGCCCCCAGCCAACCTCCTCCACGTCCAAAGCACTGAGGGTCCAGCTGCCGCTCCGCCTGGTCCTTGCCAGACCAGGAGTGTGTGAGGAGGTCACAGCAGGAGAGGGCAGGGGCAGCTCCAGAAGGGGAGGGGCCTGTGTTGAGGGGCGGGGCCCTTCGTGGGCGGGTCCTTGAGGAGGGGCGGGGCCAGTAGGCGTGGACAGAATGGGTGGGGCGGGGCCTCTGAGGGGCGGGGCCAGTGGGCGGGGGCAGAAGGGGCGGGGCGGGGCCTTTGAGGGGGCGGGGCCAGTGGGCGGGGACAGAATGGGTGGGGAGGGGCCTTTGGGGAGGGGCGGGGCCGGTAGGTGGGGACAGAATGGGTGGGGCGGGGCCTCTGGGAAAGGGGTGGGCCGGCGGGCGGGGACGGGCGCTCACTGAAGAGCTGCACCATGGTGCTGAGGGTCCCCTCCAGCTCCTTGTAGATGTGGACGATGGCGAAGGAGCTGTAGTCCGTGTCCACGACGCGCACGTCTAGGTAGCCCAAGGCTACGGAGAGGCAGGCTGCCGATCGGCCTGGAGAAGTGGACGGGCTGGGCACCGACCCCACCCACGCCTGCCCCTGCTGCTGGGGTAGGAGCCTGTTCCTCGATGACAGAGAAGGGGCAGGGAGGGGCAGGCAGGGACTGGAGACTGTGATGGACAGCTGGGGCCCGGGTGGCAAGGCAGCCTCACGTGACCCCCAGAGAAGCAGCATCCAGCGCCCCTGAAGGCGGATAAGGCAGAACCTACCCGGGACTCTGAAGTGTACCTCGGAGCCCACCTTCAGGTACTCGGCATCTACCTGGTTACAGCCGTCCGCCCTGGGGGTGCATAGCCGGCTCATTCATGGTACCTAGCTGCCTCAGCCCCCCAGCCCAGCCCAGGCAGCCCAGCCAGCCCAGCCCAGGCAGCTCACCCCAGGAACTCCATGTGGACGTGGAGGCCACCCTCCTCTGTGGCCTTGATGGCCCTGGTGGACATGGGCAGGTGGTCCTTCTTGCCCAGGAAGACTTTGCAGTCGGATGCCATGGAGACCACATACCCGAGGCATGAGAACTGCCAGGGCCTTAGTCACCCACAGGCCAGGACGGCCAGCAACAGGGCCCTCCTTGCCCAGGGATCCAGAGGACAACACAGAAGTCACACAGCAAGAGGGCTTGGAGTTGCCATCTCCTGGGTGTGAGCTGAGCCCAGGTGGACAGGAGTTCCTCTCGGGCAGGTGACAGCGCAGCTGTGAGCCTCAGTTCCCCAGCTGTGACGTGGGCGCAGTAACGATCCCTATACAGGTTGGTTTAGGATTAAGCACAGAGCGGATCTACAGCTTGTGCCTGGCTGGGCACAGAGCAAGCGCCGCAGGACAGGCAGCTGTCACAATGATCACATTGTCTCCGGCAAGGGCCCAGCTCCCACCCATCGCAGGCTGGCGCAGAGGCCCCTGGTACCTTTGTGGCATTGAAGTCAGGCTGCAGCAGAACCTCGGCCTAAGCCGTGGGCACCCAGAGCAGGGCCAGGACTGCGCTGAGCAGGAACGCCTTCATCCCCTTGCCTGCCCTCCAGCCCCTGGTCCTGAGTCCCCAAGCCCCCTTGGGGATCAGATTTATAGCCAGGCCACCACCTGGGTGCACCTGCTCCTGGGGGGAGCAGATGAAAGCAGAAGGCACTTCGGCTCTGAGACTCCAGCTCCCTGGTCCCTTGTTTGGCACAATCACTCCGGTGTCCCCCAGCTCCTGGGGTCACTTCCTGGAGGGCTCCAGACAGCCAGGCTCTGGCCTGATGCACCCAGCTATGGATTTGTCCCCTAGACCTGACAGGCATGTTGCCAGTCCCAGGGCCACTGCCAAGCCACAGCAGAGACTTGTCCTGGCTTGCCTGGACTTGCATCAAGCCTCTCTGCGCACACTCTGCCTGGCTGGGCTGAGCCAGGGCTCTGGGGGTGCAGCTGCAGGCACGCGGCTGGAGTTGCTGTGACCAGGCCCCTCTCCTGGGGTCTGGCCACCCAGAAAGCCCCCTTCTCTCACCCCCAACATGTGGGTAGGGTCACAATGGCAGAGTCCAGGGCAGAGCTTGTGCCCCCACAGCTATGAGAGAGGCCTCGTGCCCCTCACTCCAGACCCTACCAGCTCCGGTGCAGCCCCAGGTGGGCTTCCAGCAAGCAGACCAGGGACCAGACGGGGCTGGGCTGGTCCTGGGGAGGATTACGGCATTGGACACCGCCTTATCACTGGTTGTGTAAGTGTGCAGGTGGCAGTGACGCCGGGAAGGTGCCGTGGGCTGGCAGAGGCTGGAACCTGCCGAGTGACCTCTCTGTGTCCTCACAGAGCACCCAGGGACGCTGGATAAGGAGCAGCAGGTGGCCTCAGAGTGTGCCACCCAGACCCCTGTGGTCAGGGGCGGAGTCAGGGGCAGGGGTCCTGCTAGGGAGGCCAGCACTACCAGCCTCTAAGTGACAGTGAGGCAGGGAGGCAGGAGCCTAAAGACTTCCTGGAACCAAATCACATGGAAACACTCCAGCAATGACAGGAATGTGAACGGCTTTTAACTTCGCTCATCCTCTGCATTTACTTAGGGCTCAACAAAACGACTTTGTAACTTGACTTCATCCTCTCCATTTACATAGGGCATGCGTGTGGGGCTGAGGGCCCCACAGGGTCGTGGGGTGTCCCTTATGCTGTGCTGAGTCGCAGGATCCAAGAAATAAAGAGACAGGACACAGAAGTACAAGGAAAATGCAGCTGGGCTCAGGGGGCCACGCCACCTATAAGGGGAGTCAGGCGAGGCCCCCAATGTCCAGATGCCTGAGCATTTATTGTGTATAGATTAGGGGGCAGGGCAGTGAGTGAAATCATCTTTAAGGATAGTGATAGGGTTGTGAGCAATGAAACAAGGGGTCCACCCCCATTAGGTCACCTAGGCCAGGAGGTGGACAGTGCGCAGCAAGGAGCCCGTTCCCACGAAGGCAAGGGCCGTGTGCAGTAAGGGGTCCACCCCCATTAGGTCACCGAGGCTCAAAGGTGGGCCGTGCACAGCGAAGAGGGTGCAGTGTGCGATACTTCTATCTATGGGAAACTACTTCTAAGAAGATTTATAGGAGGATGCCTTAAGTCACACAGCAGTGACAGAGCTGTCAAGGTTACTGCCACCTTCTGGCAGCTTCCAATGGGTTCTATGGGAAGATGCTTTTCAAGCAGCACAGTAGCAAGAGCTGATGAAGTTCACAGTCACCAAGGTGGACTGCCGTTCTGAGGGCACCTTCCACAAGAACTGGAGCAAGGTCCTACAACTCCTTTATCAGGAGGAGTGGCTCTCGCCCCAAGCCTGCCATACAGCGGGTATCTTTACGATACTGAGCGCTGCCGCCTGGGCCATGGATTCTTGTCCTGGTATAACTGTTTTCCCTTAATTCATGCTCTGCACTGCGTCTGCTCCAGACATTCCTCCGATTATAAGCTGCTTATCCCTTAATTCATGCTCTGTACTGTGTCCACACTAGGCATTCCTCCGAGTATGAACTAAGATATAATTATAGGTATATATGTAGGGAAATATTCTTTAGGCACTCATACTATCAACTATTAATGATTATATAGACAGGATTATATAAAGGGGTTCTTCATGCCCTATTTCTATAACTAACATATGATTATGTAAAGGATTATATAAAAGGAAACAGCTGAGTAGTAACACTATAAAGTGAGATATTCCTCAGGCCCTAACTGTGCCAGGGCTCTGCTTAGCTCTCAGTCCTCAGTGTCTATATAGGGGGGTTACCCACGATACGCCAAGTAACCAATGGGACACCTCGGGAGGTTATCGAGACCCCAGAACATTCTGTAATGGGGACCTTGAGCGGCTTGCTCAGCCCAATCCCACCCTGTAGAGAGTGCTTTCATTTTCATTTTATTTTATTTTATTTATTTATTTTTGAGATGGAGTTTTGCTCTTGTTGCCCAGGCTGGAGTGCAATGGTGCCATCTCAGCTCACCAAAACCTCCACCTCCCATGTTCAAGAAATTCTCCTGCCTCAGCCTCCCCAGTAGGATGACAGAGCGAGACTCCATCTCAAAAAATAAAAGAAAAGAAAGAAAGAAAGCGTTTGGAATTCAGAAAAGGCAAGGGGGTCAGGTAGGTGCCACGGGCATGACTCGCCCAGTGGGCCTCTTGCCTTGGGAGCTCTTGAGTGTGAGACTCTTCGTTAAATCTCTCCTGGATCAGGAAAAAGATCTAGAAAATGAAGAGGATTCTCTCTCTCTCCCTCTCTCCCTCTCTCCCCCTCTCCCCCTCTCCCTCTCCCTCTCTCCCCCTCTCCCCCTCTCTCCCTCTCTCCACGCATAAGTGCCCCTGTTTTGGGATAAGGAAGTTGTAGGAGTTGAGTGGGACACTTTTT